GATCTAAAGGGATCAAAATTTACAAAAAGAAAAAGCTTAATATTATTTGTTTACTTTATTAACATTCTTCAATGTAAGTTGCTTCATTTCAGTGATAATACTTTCTCTTTAATTTATTAACAACATAATTCTTGTTTAGTTACAAAGTCGGCTGTTCAGTACTATAATTGCTGTGTTGAGAATACCGACTAATTTGTCAATCGAATGTTTTCGTTTTCAATAACCTCTGGGTCACTTTCTTCACTATCCCAAGCGAGAGGAACTTGATTTAATCATATTCAAAGATGGAGTACAACGAAATGAAATACTACACTTAGTACAGGAATTATAAACCAAAAAAAAATAAAAACATCTGCCCTGAAGATAAGGATAATGCTGACAGATCAACTCCAATGCCCAGTAAAATGATAAAAAAAATTTCGGATTTCAAAACATACTTCGCTTTGTAGATACAAAATTACATAGTAAAATATATATCGAAATTCTATATGACATATCTTCTAATCTATCATAATCTAATAATGACGTTTTTGCCCCCCCTGCGGCAGAGCAGCGTGAAATTGATAACAGATTTCGGATTTCAAAACTACTTTCGCTTTGTAGTAAATATATATGGGAAATTCTATTTGACATAATCGAAAGTTCAAGCTTACTTTTATAAAATTGCTCTAACAGTCCGCAAAAAATAATAAGCCGGATCCATTTCGAAGATTAAGGAACAACGCAATCTGCAACATTAACTGAATTAGATAACTTTAGCTTAGCGTATAACTCCGTTACACATTAAACGCGAATGCGCACAAACATATTCGCAGCCGTAAGGGTCTTACGCGCTCTCGTAAACGCCTGTGCGCATGCGTAAATGTGACACATGCGCAGAAAGTTTGTAGCTTTGAGGTCCGGATTATAGATCATTCCGGATTATGGGTGTCCGAATTAACGACTTTTGACTGTATAGCCTTTGTATGAATAAAACTATTCTTTGTGAACAGTATATTTGGTAAATTTTCCTTTTATTTTCCTTCATATGCGTATTCTGTACGAGTATCGAGACAAAGAAAGAGTATCCTGTAGCTTAAAAAGTTATTGTGATAGACAAAAAGTGAGGTTAATTTTTGATTCAGATTCCAAAAGCAAGTGATAGATCTAAGACAATGAAACTGCTGTTTCCCAGTGTTTCTTGTGAAGGAGTGTGCCACAAATAATTAATACTATATTTTAAAAAAATTATTTAGAACTTAATGCTTCAAAAAATTGAATGCTGGAAAAATTATGCCTAGGAAAAAACAGCCCCCAAAATATATCCAACAAAAAATATTAATAATTCATATTCTTATAATGAATACATAATATTAAATACATAGATATAATTATTAAATAGTTAATAATTGATTGTTTTAATTATTAAATGCAGTACAAAGTCCTTAATCCGGATGTCCATTATCCAGAATGATCAATGTCACAAACTTTTTTTTTGTATGCTTTATGAATGCGCGTTTAATGTATAACAGATTGTATAAGCTAGGCTAAAATTATCTTTACTCATTCTAAGGCATTTCAGTTAATGTTGCAGATTGCCCTGTTCCTTAATTTTCTAATTGGATCCTGCTTATTAATTTTTTGCACACTGTTAGAGCAATTTTATAAAAATTAAGCTTGAACTTTTGATTATGTCAAAAAGAGTTTCCCATTCTGGAGCTGCCAAAGGATCTACAAAGCAAAAGCATGTTTCGATGTCCATCAAACAAAAAGAGGAATTGCTGCAAAAAAACAGATAAAGGCATATCCGTCTCCAAATTATGCGAGGAGTATGGCATTGAAAGTCAACTGTATATGACATAAGCAAAAAGAAAAAGGATTTTTTTTTAATTTTTTGTGGATTCTGACACCCCACTTGCAATGAATAACAGAAAAAGAGTTCGTTGTGCTAAAAGTGACTATCATGACAAAGCGATGATTGAATGGGTCAGACAGCATCGCAGCGAGGGTGTGCCATTGATCTGTCAAATGCTAATGGCTCAAGCCAAAATATACCATGAAGAAATTAATTTAAACACTGAGTGCACATATTCGACAGGTTGGTTAACCAAATTAAAAAATCTCCATGGTATAATACAATTAAAAATTTCAGGTGAAAAAGCTTCAGCTGATACTGAAGCTGCTGAACAATTTGCAGATGAATTCATTGAACTCATTACTAGTGAATAATTATCTCCAGAACAAATTTACAATGTGATAAAATGGTCTTTTTCTGGCAATATGTACTACGAATACTTTGGCAACCCTACAGAAAAGGCTCCAACTGGTGTCAAATTCCAAGATGAGATAACATTTTGCATGCGCAAATGCTGCAGGAATGCACAAGTGCAACTTTTCGCAATCGGAAAATATGCAACCTCGAGCATTTAAAGGAGTAACAATTTCCCCCATTATATACTCGCGCATGTATCTGTATTTTCTTCCAAATTGTACGTTATCATTCAGCCTATGGATATGGGAATAGTGCATGCGCTGAAATGCAAATATGAAGTAGCATTTTAAAAATATATGCTATATTTCTTGAACAATGTGAAGACTATTCAAGACTTTTTGAAATTTTTTAGCATAAAATCTGCTGTGTGGAGCATCGCAAAATCGTGGGAAGATATGTCTCCAGATATGTTAAAAAATGCTTGGCATAATTTATAGCCAGCTACCATATTTCATGGTGAGGACGACAAAGATGATAAGACACGAATTTGAAGGTTTTTGGATATCACAAACTAAAGGTGTAATTTGCCTGTTATTGGATTTTGTAAAGAAATATGGAGAAGTGGTAATAAATGAAAATGATATAATAGAAGTTTTTCATTGCGATGACAATGCCCCAATCATCAATCAATTAATGGACAGCAAAATCTGTAGTATGGTTCTAGATCCAGAAAATACCGCTCCCGATAGTTAAGAAAGTGACAGAGAGGTTATTGAACAAAAATATTTCGATTGACAAGTTAGTCGGTATTCTCAACATAGCAATTACAGGACTTGAACAGTGGAACTTTGTAAGTGAACAAGAAATTATGTCTGTTATAGAATTAAAGAGAAAGTATTAGCACAAAAAACGAAGCAACTTGAACAACTTACGTTGAAAGAAATTTTAATAAAGTAAACAAATAAATATTGAGCTTTTTTTGTAAATTTTGATACCCTTTAAATCACAATTGCTCTTTATTTCCTAAATTACGGTTTCATAATTTTAATTGCATAATTTCTGCATGCCATCTTACCAGTCCGGAATTGCTGAAATCCTGACGAGTCCGGATTTCAGCTTGTACTGTATTTATTTTTTCACCTACCAAATAATTTTCATACAGTAATCTGTATATAGTCTTATGCTGAGAAACATGTTTTGGGTTAGGCGATGAACATCTTTTTTTTTTTTTTTTTTGGTTAGCTGTAAAATTAGGTTTAGACTTTGTTAACAGTTCCTACAGAGATATTTAAAATTTTCATTAATCTGGATTTTCTTTTAAAACATGAGATGCAACCTTAGATTTAATAAGAGCTGCATGTAGCTTTGTTGGTTATGCATTTTTGCATTTTCCCAGTCACATGTAAAGTTGTACTGTCATGTTTCTAATCCTATTTCAGATAAAGTTTTTATATGTATTTCAAGGACAAAAAAGCAAGAATTTTTAAACTCAGTCAGTTAGTTCAAGATCAGCTGTAAATTCATAAACATAAACAGCTTCAGGTTAAAATTCACTTTCTGAATATTTTGAACGTATATCAAAAAATCAAAATACAAATTTGAAATTAATATTATCAGAGAATCATCACCTACATGTTTTGTGTATTGCTCTTAACCCTCTCGCTGCGTAAATTTTTTTATCAAAATAGGTTCAAAAATTGCGTAATTTTTTAATTACATATTTCAAATCTACTTTAAAATTTTAGAGTTAAAATATACAAAAAGTTTTTGTAAAAGAGTTCCCCCCCCCCAGTATAGAATTAGCTCATGAAAAAAGGTTGTTGGAAAGTTTAAACTGAAGAATAATCATATAAAAGAAAAATTTTGAAAATTAAGATTTATTTTATAAAACATAATGGTAAAATATATATACTAATGAAAATACGCAAATATTTATAAAACATTTATTAGAAATTAAGTGTAATATGCCAAACTTCAAAACAAAGCTCGAGGCATCCTATCTCGCCATCTTTGCACCAAATACGCATTTCTTTGAGAAATTTTTGGCCAGTTTCAGTTCTTTTTTTAAAAACAAACAGCACAATGTCTAGGAGTTTCTTTCTTGATGGAATTGAGGGATACATATCTAGCAAAATGTTGATCAGTTAGTCTCATGTGATAGAGAGTTGAATTACAGATGTCTTTGAGCTTTGAAAAGGGCACGCAAAATAGTGCGAAATGTGTTTGTATATTTTGCAAAAATATGGCAACTAACGCCATCTGTTAACCCAGATCTGAATAAATAATCGAACATCACAGAAAAGCCAAAATGAAAACCATGAACGGGAAAAGCGCGGGTTGCACAGTTAAATAAACGAAAAATATACATCCCCATGGAAATCACGGGTTGCGCAAATTTTGCTACTTCTATGTTGCCCGTGGAAATCATGGGATATGCAGAGAGAAAGTAAAATAATAAGCCGGATCCAATTAGAAGATTAAGGAACAACGCAATCTGCAACATTAACTGAAATAGATAATTAGATAATTTTAGCTTAGCTTATACCATCCGTTATACATTAAACGTGCAAGCTTAAACATATTATGCGCATGTGTAAACGCATTATACACGCGTTTACACATGCGCATGCATAAACTCTGCGTTTCTGTTCATGCGCTTTCTGCACATGATTGCGTTTACGCATGCGCAGAAAGTTTGAAGCTTTGAGGTCCAGATTATAGATCATTCCGGATTAAAGACTTCTGACCGTATATATATAAATTAAAAGCGTAACTAATTTAATGCATATTACTAAATAAAATGACATACTCCTTAGTAAGTGGTCCAGGAACATATTTTTCCTTTAAGCTTGAATTCTGTACATATCTATTAAAAAAAATATTTTTTTAGAATTTATGTAAGAGGACATTTTGATGATTCAGAAATTTAATAATAAAAAGAAATAAAAAACTGATATAAGTCTTAGCATTATTTACCAACACATATCAATCACAATAATAATTAAATGTGAATAATTTTTTAACTTGAACAAATCACTACGAAAATGTGCAAAACAGATTCAAACCCAATTCAAACATTGATATACTAATGACAAGCTATTAAATTAAATTATTGAATAATCATTCAATGGTTTTTATTTTATTTCATCATGAGCTCTTGTAAACACAAATGAAGAATTTCATTTGATTGTACACAATGCACTTATAATAATTAAGGATACGGAAGAAGTAAATTTGATCATTGCACATCCAAGCATTGCATTTACCTTCTGATTATCTGCATCCTCCTCTAAAAAAATCAGCAACCTTTGACTAATTTTTCACCATGCTAAAATGTGAAAGACAACAGCCATTTTCAAAAATGGCAATACATTAAGAATTATATGAAACTGCAACCAACTAACAAAATTATCCCCTTCCAAACAACAACCATAATACACTAGTGTACAAAACTTAAGCAACAATGTAAATTCTAATCAGATAGCCATGAAATTACAGAAAAGGGATTCTTGTGCTCAGTACACAATTCAGTAAAAAAGTCATGTGCATGCATATGTCAGGAACAAAACATCGCAGGAGATGTGAGCATACATAAAACGCGTGCAGTTGGTGCACTCAACTCAAGACTACAATAAAAGGAAGGATGGAGATGCAATTAAAGACATTTGTTCCAAGTAAGTTTTTTCGTGAAATATGGCTAAAAGAAATCACCTGGATGACATCAAACGTGGAAGAATGATTGGAAAGCTGGAGAAGGGGCATAGAGTGACCAGTGTAGCTCAAGAGTCTGAAATCAACAAAAGTGTAATTTCGTGAGCGTTGAAAGCCTTCCAAACCATAGGTACAGCTGTTAGAAAGGTTAGTGGTGGCCGCCCCAGGAAAATAACTGCAGTGGAGGATATATAGTCCAGTAGGCGAAAAGACCCTGAAACCAGTCAGCAAACGCCATATCTTAGCAACTGTGTACAACAACAGGGCGACAAGTGTCATGGTTTACTGTGTCCAGACGACTTCACAAAAGTGGTCTATTTGCCTCCCATCTTGAACACTGCATTGCTTTGAAAGTTGGTCATCGGTACCATTGTTTAGAGTGGTGCAAGAAGCACAAAAACTAGACATCTCATCAATGGAGTAGTGTCCACTTTACGGATGGGAGTTGTTTTAGAGCCACAAGAAATTCTCAATGCCAGTTGATTTGCAAAAAGGTAGGGACACGATTTTATCCTAATAACATCACAGAAAGAGAGTATTATGGTGGTCCTGGACTTCTCTTCTGGGGAGGCATTATGCTGAACCGGCGGAGAGAGCTCCATGCTTTCGACAGAGGTTCTGTAACTGGAGATCGCTATTGTCAGGAGATGATCCTTCCCCATGTGCGTCTGTTCCGAGGTGCCATTGGAGCAGGGATGACAATGCATGACCACACTAGACTCCTGTTGTTCAGAAGCTATTGGAAAGTGAAGATATCGCTCGAATGGATTGGCCAGCGTACTCCCCTGATTTAAATCCCATAGAACATGTGTGGACTGCTTTGGGAGACACCTTGCAGTACGATTACATGTTCCAGAGATTCAACAATATGAACCTCAATTTAAAAATAATTTTTAGTCCCTTGATAGCCATTAATTTGGGGTTTGCCTACACAAGGCTGGTGCCAGAGCCGGTGCAACCAATGCATTAACGCTGAGTGGAAGAATTAAAGGCAGATTTTTTTTTTTTAATATATATATATATATATATCAAGAAGCATTAGGTGGTAGAGTTTAAAAACAGTAAAGATTACATTGGGTGGAAAAATGCTCAGGGATTTAGGATACTTTAAGTCTAGAATCCATATTTAGAATATGAAATCTTAGTATACTTAAAACTGAGCAAATTAAAGTAACATTTTATGGTACTTATATACTTCCCTGTAAACAATGAAAGTTGGCAAATATCTTGGCAAACTTGTGCTAGTCATTCTAACAGAAGTTTGAAGGAACAAAATTTATTTAGCTATATAACAAACAAGGACATTATATTGTGCATAAAAAACTTAAATAAGAATGGCTCAGATGCAAGTATTTTTAAATAGCAGTTAATTTACACTCTTCTTTAACAAAAATCAAACTGGCTTCTGGGGGATTAATACAAATTACATCCAAAGCAAAGAACTAAACGGCATGTGGTGACATCATGGTTATCCTTTACTGGCATTAAACCACACTGTTTGGAAAGAGTTTTTGTTATGTCAAAAATGGTCAATAGAAATGCACATAAGTATCCACATTACTAGTACTGAAAACAACAAATATGCTACATTAAATATTACACTAAAATAATACACTTTAAAGTAAATAAATAACCTTCATAAAATATCCTTTTAAAAAATCACAGCATCCACAAAAATATACTATACTTTCAAAATCTATTACATATTTGTAAAAACTAAAAAACGGTGCACATACATGGAATCCTGAAGTAAATCAAGATTTTCGACAGCTAAAGCATGTAAACTTTCTATCGCAGCATGATCAACCTGAAAACACAGATTTTGAAACTGTAAATAAAATTTGCAAAACCTGAATAAATAAAATTCAAATCTAGTTGTTTACAGGAACACAGTCATGATGTTACAAATATTTTCCAAAAGATAACTGAAATTTACAGACTCTTGAAAAACTGTACCTCATACTTAATTTCAAGGTTAACGTATATTTAAGGGGGCTCCCTTGGATTATGGCTAAGTTGTTGTTTCATTTATCACCAAGTTATTGCTTAATTTATGGTAACCTGAGTAGATGAATGTTATGGAAACCCTATTACGATGTAATTGTTTGTGTGATTGCGGTGAATTTTGATGATGGGAAAAGATTTGCAAGAGCTTGTTTGTGTCTTGGATGTTGGTTACGAAGTACATTGTGGTTTACACGGTATTATTTTGAGGTTTACACTGTAAAATGGCTGAATGTGGTAAGATTAATTTGAAGTTTCTATACAATTTGGAATGAAAAAAGCATTAATTGATTGGTGTGTAAATGAAGGTTTACTTATTATCATTACAAGTGTCCTTGTTTGTACGAAGTAAATTTACTCTTATTTTTGTGAATTTATGTGGTGATGCCAGTACACAGATTCTAGTTCAGATAATTTTAGGAAGTTTTTGGATGTTGGTAAGGAATTTTGTTTGACTGAAGACACAGAAATTTCTAAATAAGGTAAGTGGATATTTCCTTTGTGTAGTGCTAAGATGAATTTCCTATTTTATGTTATTTGATTGTTTGATTTAAAATGTAGTTGATTGAGATTATATATTTTTTGTTGGCTGCTCCTTTGACTTTTTAAGTGAAAAATAGATCGATGTGTACATGGACATAGTCAAGGGAGTATGCAATGCCAAGTTTGTACAATTGTCTGATGTTTTTTAAGTGAAAATAGATCGATGTGTACATGGATACCGAGTTGGTGCAATTCTTTGACTTGTTATTTTGGCTTTGTGCCAAAAATCGCCGCTACAAAAAAAAACAAAATAGCAAGTCGAAGAATTGCACAAACTCAGTGTCCATGTACCGCCAAAAATCACAAATTTTTGCCAAGAGGTACCAAAAATATATTTTTACAAAGTTCGAACACATATTATGCAACATTTCAAAGAAAATCACCTTCAAGCCATTTATTATTTTCAAGCTGTAATAAAACAATAACAGATGCCGTAGCCAATCTAAATTTCAAAAGATTTTTCATTTATCTTTAATACTATGTAAATGCATTGCTCAACAAAGCATAAGTTAACAAGTCATAGTAATCATGTAGTATGCATACTACATGACTGCATGCAATCTTCCACATTTACAGTCTGTTACTTTTCAATACACACTTCAAGGTTGTAGTGACCCTCCTCTCACTTACAATCAAAATGTAGATCCTCATCACCCCAAAGAGGAAATTAGGAGATTTCAGAAAATTAGATGATTCAACCTTTTTTTTTTTTTTTTTTCCCCCCGTGGCAATTTTCAGGCATGGTTTGGGAAGAAGATATGACCTTGACCTCCTATTCTAAACTAAGACATTATAGTAAGTTATTTATTTTTTTTGATAGCAGCACTAATTGATTGTTGTTTTGATTATTTCTATACCTTGCCATTTAATCCCATGTTCAAATTTAAAAATAGTATTTTAGTGGTGCTAATAAATCAATAACTAAAAGAGGTAGATCGCATACTAGATGATCAGATAAATTTATTTCAGAGATGAGTTCTAATTTTATTTGACAGTGAGAATTCAGTTTAACGAGATGGCAGTAGTACACATTACTTCTATTTAAGAGGAGGATAGAAATATTTGTATTGTTGTTCATACTTTTCAAATTTTATTGCTTCTGAAATTTAAAAAAAAAAATTAATGGTGAACTTCTCTTTTAAGTGTTACTGCACACTGAACTTTTTACAACTTGAATGAATTGCAATTATTTTCTTATGAAACTATAAAGTATATTCCGGTGTATGACACACACTTTGAGTACAAAAAAATTAGACTAAAATTTATGGGTGTGCATTTTATGACCGATAGAAAAATGATAGATTTGAGAATAAAGAAAGGATGAGCATACAAAAATTAAATTTCTACATGTACTTATATTTAGAAACTATGTATTTTATGAGGTTAAAAATTTTCATTATTGAATAATATGAAAAGTTCGTAATATTCATCTTCCGTTATATCTTCAGGCATATCATCGAATTCTGTTTAATTTTCACCATCACAGTAATTCTGATCCATAAATAAGTAATCATCTTCCATTCCATCTAGATTGTGAGATATACCCTATTTTTTAAATGATTTTTTAATAATGTTAGGTTTAATTTCATTCTGTGCTTTTATTATCCACTCACACAATAGTTCTAGATTAGCATGGTGCATTTGGCCTCCTTTTGTAAATATTCCCTAACATTCTAATACCAATGTATTTAAATCTTGTTTCAAATTTTCTTTGAATGGTTTATTGATATATATTGTCACTCTAAAAGCTGAACTAATGGCATTAATCTGCTTGGAATAACTGCCACCTCTGTATCAATCTCTTCATCAATTTCTTCATATTATCTGTTAAGATGGTTTCGGAAGATTTTCTGGATTCTTTAAGGAAATGGGATGCTTTGGCCAAACATTTCTTTCCTATAATTTTGCACCGCTTTCATCTATTCATCCTTTCTCGTGAACATAAATGAACACATGATTTTCAAAATTACATTTCCGTATTGTCTTTCTTTTAAAAATAACCATGGGTTTTAATTTTGTATAGCCTGCTAAGTAACTATGGTAAGGTGAGATTTTTTGTGACATGTTATTTTCATATTAACCATTCTTTGTTCCTTTTTACATCAATTGTTTTATTTCCTATCATATCAAACATTACTGGAGTTTCATCCATATTTGTAATATGTGAGAGTATGTTTCCTAGGTCAATACGATACTTCTGGAAACTTATCAATTTGTTGTTCATCTTCAGAAGCCTTTGCTAAACTTTTTTTTTCTTGGCAGAACTAAATTATTCTACACCATAAATCGACTACACCAGCTTGAAGCTGCTTTAAACTTTTTACTTCCATTTGCATTGCTTTTTGCACACTTTATGCATTTAGACTGTTTCTTGTTACACTTAATCCATTCTGGCGATTTTCTGGAACCCAGTTCGCAATACTTTCTTCTAGAATAGGCCATTTCATTACAAATAAATGTGCCTTTATACAAAGCACATTTATTCTTTGGTGTATTTATTACTGTAATTTCATTTTTCTTCTACTCATGTATGAAGCTTTCATCAACACCAAACATCCTTGTTGCAGTACAATATCCATTTTCTCTCACAAATTGAATGACTTTGCATTTGAAAACATCATTGAGTTTGTTTTGTTTAGCAGAAGCCATATTTACTGCTAAAAGGAACACTAGATCAACTGTATTTCAACTATAGCAAATGCGATTTACTGAAGTCTCACTTTGAAATCCGGCTCCAAATGACTACAGAAAGAAAAGCAAGCGATTCATTCCGCGAATTCATTCAGGTCGAAAATGCATTCTTATCCCGCATTTTGTCTCCTTTTTCTTGAAACCATAGAATAACATTCTCTTGCACTTCCGCATTGAATACAACCCACCATCCTCACAGAACTATTTACACTGTCAAGCATTTCTCCTGCACACATATTGTTCCCCTTTTTACTTGTCAGTTCAGCACACCCTTTTCCAAAAGGACCAGGAAAAATTGCCAAATGAATGACTTCAAAAGATAAGAACATCTGGCATCTACTTTCAGGTTTCTTCATAAAGGAAAAGGTACATGTTATACGGCAAATATACCTAAAAATTAAAAAATATAGTTTAAAATTATAGGTGCACATTATACAATGGTATGTGTTATATGTTGGAATATACAATAGTATATATTTTTGCATACTTCAAAAGTATGCCCAGAGATAATTTTAAGGCTTCAGAACAAAAACAGGTGTGAACCTTCCTTACATGAGTTCATGTCCAACTAAATTACAGAAAAAAATAACTACTTTTTTATTCAATGAAAAATAAGAACCTAATTTTATTGAAACTCACTGACTGGAAACCATTCTTTACAGTATAAAACATTTTTGGAAGTATCTGGTTACAATAAAATAAGTTTTTAATTCACCAAATTAGTTAGAATTTGGATATTGAAATGTTCCAGAACTAAAACTATGACAGATTTTCTTTAGCAATTTATTTTGAATAATTACTACTTGTACATTATAACTGTATCAATTGCAGTTATGATATCAATTACAGTTACTCAATAAACAACAGCAACTGCATTTTGAATCAGGTTTCAGTTCCTCATTCTTCCTCTACCTTTCATTTCCTCATTCTCATTCAGCAGTTTACAATGCACTAAAATTTCTAATTTGTAGAAAAGAAATTCCTTCACTTTCTGCAAGAAATACTAAATATTTACACACTTTTACTGCACCAAACATTAATAAATTAAAAAATTAATGAAAGAAACATAAAATTGTGTTGGCAACTAAGTGACTGCAGATTTTGTCAACAGATGGTTTTAGCACATTCTTTTGTGAAGCATGTAATCTATATTGTTTTGTTGTTGTTTCCACTTCCACCCTTAATTAGTAACAATTTGTATCAATTAGTTTAGTTTTGTTACTATCCCAATTTAAAAATGGAAAAACAAAATGTGCATGTCAGACATATTTTATCGTATTATTTCTGAAAAGGCAAAAATGCTCCACAAGCATAAAAGAAATTATGTGCTGTATATGGGAACAAAGACTTGAAAGAAAAGCAGAGCCAAAATTGGTTTGCTAAATTTGATTTTCTTGTGATTTTTCACTCAAAAATACACAACAATCTTGCTGTCCAGTTAAAGTTGATGACAGTCACATCAAGTCAGTTATCAATTCAGATTGTCATAGCACAACATGGGAGATTGCAGAGAAGCTCAATGCATACATGCATTAAAAAAAAATTGAAACAACTTGGTTTTTTTTTAAAAAAAAAAAAAACTAGATTTATGGGTTCGTCATCAGCTTAAGGAAATTCATTTGACACAATACATTAGATTTATGTGATTTGCTTCTGAAAAGCAAAAAAAACTGATGCATTTCTGAAACGACTAATTATAGCAAAAGAAAACTGGATAGTTTTTAATCAAAAAAGATTATGAAAACAGTTAATTCAAATATCTACGTTCAACAACTCACCAAACTGAATTGATGCAGTTTAACAATAGTGGCCAGAATTGGCAAATCATAAAGGTATGGTTTTCCAACATGATAATGCAAAACCCTATACATCTTTGGTCACTCGCCAAAAATCATTGTAGCTAGGCTCGGATGCACTATCATATCCACCCTATAGCCTTTTCAGATTTCCATTTATTTTTTCCCATGCAGAACTCCTCAAATGATAAAATTTTTAATCTCATCATAAAATCTCATTTATTCATTTATTATTATTATTATTATATTATTTTATTTTTTTGATAAAAATCAGAAACTTTATGAACATAGAATTGTGACACTGCCTGAAAGACAGCAAAAGGTCATGGGCAAAAATGAATAGTAAGTTATATTTTCAAGTAAAAATTTTGAATTTTCCTTCTTATTTAAAATTACAATCACTTAGTTGCCAACCTAATAAATGAGCCTGGAATTACATCAAATATCTCATTAAAAGGATTACAAAATTGTGACAAAAATTAAATGATATAACTTATAATAATAATACAAACTTAAGATTCGGGATGCCACTGACCTTTACTAATTTCTCGACTATAATTCAAAATATTAATTTTCATATTTCCATTTTGGAAAATTCCATTCCTTATGCATATATTCCATTCCTTATGTATATATGTATATATTAACTTGGCCTTATTAATGATCATATTAAGAATTTTCTTATTTTTCATCCCAACTAACTTTTGGGCGTTAACCAATTGTTACCTTTCCTAATTCTTAAAAATGAGGGATTTTATTTTTTTCTATTTTAATGCAGAATATCAAATACAAGAATTTCCATTATAATAAAATTAAACATTTAAAAGAATAGCAGCAATAGTATACACTGATCTTAAGCATCATAAAATGTGTATAATGTTTGACAAATTTCTAAATGTAAATAAACATTGAGTAACTTAATTATTGATTTTAATATTCTAAATGTTTTAAATAGTTTCTCCTCTATCATTTTCTTTACCTCAGTCGTTTCTGATTCTGAAAAGTCTTCAACACTTTCAGCAACAGTGTTGTTGACAACCGGTTCACCATTAGTTTCTGCCATATTAAACAATTCACTTTTAATTTTTTACCGGGACAAACCTGAGATGTCACCGAAACTGAAGTCCACGTCTGTAATGTTGATGAAGCAGAAACAAGAAGAGTGGAGTTGCATCAAAATGAAAATTAAATCAAAGGTATTTTAGGTATTTCAATAAAAGCTATTTATATATTTCGATTTGTACTACCATTTTATGCACGACATTTATTGTTTCCAACCGTTGTTTTAATTCATCTAAAAACTACTTAAAAGAAAATACTTTTTTTTATATGGCAAATGCTGTTACTGTTATACCTAAGTTAAGTACCAACATATTTGATTTTCTAATTCATATATTTAAAATACTTACAGTCATTTTTTATTTGTTACAATAGCAGAAGTTAGGACGAACTATATTAAAAATAGATCAGCAGCAGGATTTTGTGTTCACTACTAAACTCTTTATTAACTAGACGTTAAAGCTGTTTGTTTTGTTTTCGAATTCATAGTTGAAGTATGAATTCATTGTTTATCTATTGCGCTGAGGGATTAATATTTTATTGCTTGTTCTGATATTTTGTATTCGCTTCATATAAAAATGGCTGCAAGTAAAATAGAACCCTTATGGCAAGACAGGGATATTAAATTCGATTTATCACCAGCAGAAATGCAGTTTCATTGTGGCGAAAAATTGATCGATAAATTGGATTCTGTTGAAGATACCAAAGGTAATAGTGGGGATGCTGGAAAACTTTTTGTTACTAATTTACGCTTGATTTGGCAGTCCTATGTAAAACCTAGAGTCAGTTTGTCTGTTGGTTATAATTGTGTTACAAATATGTCAACGCGAACAGTAAATTCAAAGCTGAGAGGTGTGACTGAAGCATTATATATTCTTACTAAAGTTCATAGCACACGATTTGAATTCATTTTTACGAATTTAATACCAGGCACTACGAGGCTAATGACATCTGTTATAAGTGTTTATAAAGCGTATAATTCTAGCAAGTGGTATAGGGAATTGAAATTAAGAGGCAGTGTTGTACTTAGCAAACAATTAAAAGTCTTGCCTCAGGAACAGATTTACAGTAAAGTTAATGGAGTCTGGAATTTATCAAGCGATCAAGGAAATTTAGGAACATTTTTCATCACTAATATTCGGCTTGTATGGCATGCAAATATGAATGAATTATTTAATATCAGCATACCTTACATACAAATAGTTTCTCTTAAAGTAAGAGAATCAAAATTTGGAATGGCACTTGTAGTAGAAAGTTCAGAATCTAGTGGTGGTTATGTATTAGGTTTCAAAATTGATCCTACAGAAAGGCTTCAAGAAGTTTTCAAAGAAATTTCTAGTCTATATCAAGTACACAGTACAAATCCAATTTTGGGAGTTGATTACTTCATTGAGGAGAAACCTCATATTGATAATGAGCTTCCTCAGTGTGCTCCACTGGATGAGGATGTTGAAATAATAAATTCTAAGGAATGTGACACTTTTGCTGCATATTTTGCTGATGAAAATCATGTTCGTGATCGTGAACCTGTTTACTGTGAAGAACTTGGATTAGCCGTTGAAAAAATAAAAGATGGGTTTACAATGAGTAGCCTATGGGAAGTTATACCTAATTCATGAAGATATTTATACCTGATAATAAATAAAAATAAGTAGACAGTTTATTCATGATTATTTGATGTGAATATTTTGGCACTCCGTCCACCTTTAAAAACTGAAAAAGAAAATTAAATTCAGAATTTTTATTAAGCAATATATAATTTCAATGTGCAAACGTTTTAATTAAAGAACTATAAATGATGAAATAAGTTTTTGAGTATTTTGTAATAGCTTATCAAAATCATTACCCATTTGCTAATTAAGATATTAGGATGAAATTGTTAGTTGATGGTTCTTTTAGTATTTAAAATTTTTAAATTGGACATAAAATAAGACATTTAAAAAAAAAGGTAGTATCTTTTGATCAGTTAATTATAAATCCCAGTTTTAAGAAATAAATTAAATGAGGTAAGACTGACTGCAGGATTATTTGTATGACATATCAGTAAAAATATAGGCCCCGTAGGAAAACATATTAATTAAAAAATATGTTTTATATTGAAGAAAAATTAAGCAATTAATTTAATATGTTTAGCTCCCACACCATGCTATCTATCCACATACTATGCTGTAATTTCTCAAAGGCAGTTAACCATAATTCTAAACAGTTGTGAATAAGAGCATTGGTAAGATATGAAAATTTTAACAAAGAGCTTGTACTTTGTCATATAGAAACAAAATATCAAATTATAATTGTTTCACATTTTACAAGAACAGAAAGTTGTGCATGGAAAAGTTAAAATTAAAAATTTTACAATTTAAAAAAATAATCATAAACTATTACATAAAATAATAAGTAAATTTAATTATGGAGTGCAAGCTACCACATTATTTTCTCCTTTTTATATCAGTCGATCGTAAATTATTGTCTTAGAAAGGCATTTACTTCAAGAGATTTCAATCTAATTTATGAATCCTACAAAATTTTGTCTGTAGCCAAGAGTTTTATAATCTAGCAGAAATGCTGGTCATTTTTAAGGGTGATCATCATAAGAGATTTCATTGCATTTATTATCAAAAATGCATGCTTTATTGCTGCATTTGTTCCTAATAAGCAGCTGTATTGGTCTCTAATAAGCAAAATTAAATTATTAATAATACAAATCTGAAAGAAACTCTGTTATTCTAAAAAATGGGGAAATTCTATATTTGCATTGCTCAGCATCAGTTTTGTACACAGGAAGTTAGTTCATTGATTCTATAATTGTTATACATCCTTCTGAATAGAATATTTCTTTAACTAATATTAACTTTCCTTGATCAAAATATTTGATTCAAAGTTTAGTTTCTATACAAATATTCCCATTTCACGTCTATTAAAGTGAACTTTCTGTCAATTATTAAATTTCACTGTTCAGTCTTCCAAATTAAATTTAAAAAATGAATTTGAAACAGATATCTGTGAATTATTTTGCAAAGAACTCTTTTTGTGATGATATTTTCACAAGCTGTACTTTTGATAGAATTCTAAATCTAAAATGTATTTGATTCGTGAATGTATTTTTGATTTCAAAAAAATATTGCGGTGCTACTTTGTTAGACGGTTGCACGGATTTTGGCGAGTAATATAACTTATGGTAAACCCATTGCTGGATAAGTTATTTATGGTAACCGATACTTTGTTGTCATTTTATTTAAAAAATAATGTGTTTTATTATGCATAAATTCCATATTTTAAATATGATTTATGGCTTCTAAATATTAAAAATCAACTTAATTTTGCATTTTTATTTGAAATAAAAATTTTATTGTTTACGATATTTTATGTTGTGAAATGATGTAATCAATGACATCACCTAACTTTAAAAGTAATTAGTTTTAATATCTATAAATTTAATCTAATGTTTAAACATTATTTATGGCTGTTAAATATTAAAATACAATTTTTTAAAAATGATTTTATTATGTATGATTATTTAAATAATTTTAATTCTAGGCATGATGTAATCAGTTCTCTGATTAGTTATAGAATATTTGTGCATTAACGAGCTGCAATCAGCTCCCTGATCGGTTAATGAAAATTTGTGCATTACGGCACCATTTAAAAATTTAATTCCTATCTTCGAATTCCTTCAAAGATGAATGTTGTTATTGGTAAGTACCAAGAGTTATTGATATCGGAATCAAAAAATTTTCCTTTGTACTTCAGGGAAGGGCGGTTAAAGGATCTTCGAAATCTTAAAAACAATACCTATTATTGTAGGGTTGTTTTTTTTTTTCCAAATTTTTTTGTTATTTTTAATTTTTATGATCCATTAATTTGGCTCTAAATTGTTTTATCTATTTATAAATTTTTTTTTAATTTTTTTATTCCTGCCCTTGATATTACATTTTTTTTTCTGGCACTTATCAATAAACGACAGGTTAAATGACTCAAAAAAATGTAAGTACATATTTTTCTGTTATTTTATAATTGTATACTTAAATTTTTGTTAAAAAATTGCTGAAATAATTATTGTCACATATGTTTTAATATTAATTATATTCTATATAGTGTATTTTAAAGTATTTGAATTTAATAATATTCTAGTTCTTTTAAATGTTGGTATGATGGTTTTTAATTTGATATTCAATTTCAGTAATATTTTAATCTACTTAAACGTTGGCACAATGTTTTTATAGCGGTGTTTTTATTTTCTTCTTTGCTATAAGTAATAATAACCTTACTTTAGTATTTTATACTCGTAGTAAATGTATTTATTTACACATGTCTGCCATCTTAAAAAACGACATTTTCAAAAAAAAATTAATCCATTACTTTTAACGATATTTATTTTAAGTTTCGAATCCTTTACTATGTGTAAAAACAGCGTTTTTCAAGATGGCTCACAATTGTAAAAACTGCGGCAACGTAAATCGCCAAAAATCCGTGCAACCATCTACCAAAGTCGTTAATCCGGAATGATCTATGATCCGGACCTCAAAGCTACAAACTTTCCGTGCATGCATCAAAGCATAATGTGGCATTCACGCATTCGCGTTTAATGTATAACGGACGGTATAAGCTAAGCTAAAATTATCTACTTCAGTTAATGTTGCAGATTGCGTTGTTCCTTAATCTTCGAATTGGATCCGGCTTATTATTTTTTGCAGACTATTAGAGCAATTTTATAAAAGTAAGCTTCAAATTTCAATTGTGTCAAATAGAATTTCCGATATATATTTACTAATATGTAAAGGATCTACAAAGCGAAAGTATGTTTCAAAGTCCATTAAACAGAAAGTGGAATTGCTGCAAAAAAATGGATAAGGGCATATCCTTTGATTATCTAATAATTCCGAAATATGTTTATCAATTTCATGCTGCTCTGCGGGGGGAGGGAAACGATGCGGCGCACAATGAATTGGAAGTTGATCTGTCAGCACTATCCTTATCTTCAGGGCAGATGTTTTTATTTTATTCAGCTTATAATTCCTTGCTAAATGTAGTATTTCATCTCGATGTATCCCATCTTTGATATGATTTAAATCAAATTCCTCGTCATTATAAATATCCTCAGTACACATCAAATAGTTTTCTGGTTGAAATTTTCTAATTTCGACTATGCGTTATATATGCTTTACACATGCGCGCGTTGAAAGAAATGTTTAATAAAGTAAACAAATAAATATTAAGCCTTTTTTTTTTTTTTTTTTTTTTTTTTTTTTTTGTAAATTTCGATACCCTTTAGATCATAATTGCTCTTTATTTCATAAATTACAGTTCCATATTTTTAATTTTATAATTTCTGCATGCCATCTTACCAGATTTAAACTGATGATCTGTAATCCAGAAAAATCGATAATCCGGAATTGCCGAAGTCCCAACGAGTCCGGATTAAAGACTTTTGACTGTACCAATCTTGCTATTACTGTGTACCAATGAATTGAGTCTCATTGAATGTACCAATGAGGATGACACTAATAAAATTTATGTCGACTTGTTTACACAATCATGTATGCAGTACAAAGTCCATAATCCGGACGTCCATTATCCAGAATGACCATGTTGGAAAATATAGCTAATAATAATTGGTAGCAGAGCGTGGTTTCGATCCACGGTCCTCTGCTACCAGACCGGACCTCAAAGGCCACAAACTTTTTTTGTGTGTGCTTTACACATGCACATATAGAATGCGCGTGCATACATTACGTGCATTACGCATGCGCGTAATGTAGGCTCTACGCATGCGCGCGTTGAAAGAAATGTTTAATAAAGTAAACAGATAAATATTAAGCTTTTTTTTGTAAAATTTGATACTCTTTACATCATAATTGCTCTTTATTTCATAAATTACAGTTTCATATTTTTAATTGTATAATTTCTGCGTGCCATCTTACCAGATTTAAATTGATGATCTATAATCCGGGAAAACCCCTAAGCCGGAATCGCCGAAGTCCAGATTACAGACTTTGTACTGTATATAGAATCTAGGATGTATCCTGAAGCAGTACTAAAATCTGGGATGTCAATTCTTTCAAGCTGGATTGTTGTTCTATGTACATGTAATCTGTATTCAGTTTCTAAGTTGTAGGAAAGTCTACTCTCTGACTACAAAGGAACTGTTCGAAATTTTAAAATACTTCAGCATCAGATTTCTTAAATTGGCCACAGGGTTTCTCTTGAAATAATTTAATTAATTTCTTAAACTAGAATCATAGAATTATGACCAGTCAATAAAAAAATATAGTTATGCAGTCTTATCCTCTATCTGTGTATATAATTTAAAATTCTCATTTAAATATTATTTTCTTCAGTCACTTAAAGTGAAGTATTTTTTAAATCAGTAAATAATCTGTCACTTAAACAGTAGCTATGATTATTTTTCTTATGAATATGTTCAATAAATGTAGATGTGTTTCTTGCTGTTTTAAAGTATAGTAGCATTAGTTTAATATAATAAAATTAAATGAAAGATGCAAGTTAAAATACATAATGCACTGTAAGCAAATACTAAAGATAGGCAAGACTGAGATCACAGAAATACTTGTGACGTTAGCATTTAGTGAATTAAAAGGACAATTGATAATTTTTCAAGGAATTCAATAAAATGCTTCTGAAAGGAATATTTCAGATCTTTGTCAGTTTATTTTGAAGAAATGAAAGATAAAAAATAGGCTTCATATCAAGCAACCTTAGAATAATGTAAAATTGGCATAATCTTTTGTATGTTATTATACTGGAGTGATGTTTGAAATAATAAATATACCAGATTCTGTATGTTTATGT